ATATATGTATAATTTTGTCTTTGGACAGCCCATTAGCAGTTTCAGGTCTGCACATGTGACCCTACAGTCCTGGTCTGACCTCCGACACTCAGTGGTAAGAAAAGTAAGAGCAGCAGTACTTTGCAACTACAGATGGCGACATGAAGATGTGTGGGATCTATCTGCAGCGAAAGCTAATTGCTTCTGCTGTTGGCTTATGATTTATGCGCCATAGTTTACACTTGTGCAGTTGTTAACAAAACTAAGTTTATCTGAAAATTATATAGGTTTATAAATGTTAAGGGACAGCATTTGTAACTGATTACAGGTGATTATTTTGAATCTGAATGTATCTAAACTATGTTATACTGCAACAGGTCCGAGCCTGTGATGTTTTCACTATGATCTTCAGAACACATGGCACATTATTAAAGTTTAACTTAAACAAAAAGAGTTAAAACTTTCACTTCATTGAAAACAATTTGACAATACTCATGACTTTTTCATAGAAAAGTTCAACTACATACACACAACCACAGAAAGTGAATATGACCATATCTACATAAATGTACATGTAGGCACACCTATCATACAGTTCAACAGCAGCACAAAAACATGTTGATCATAGAGCTCAAACTCTCTAATGCAGAAACATTATTACCTTCATGAAGGGAGGATTTATTGCAGCACAGTTATATTAGTTTTAACTTGGTGTACCTAATAATCTGCCACCTGAGTGTATTTCTCACCATGCTGAAATACTAGGTGGTAAGAAAAGTAAGAGCAGTAGTATTTTGCAACTACAGATGGCGACATGAAGATGTGTGGGATCTCTCTGCAGCGAAAGCTAATTGCTTCTGTTCCTGTTGGCTTATGATTTATGCGCCATAGTTTACACTTGTGCAATTGTTAACTGGGTATAGAGCAGCAATGTCTGTGCCCTCTGTCCTAAAGGGCTGTCCTGGTTAATATGGAGAGGAAGGCAGGAAGGAGTGATAACTACACTTTGGGTCTCCAAACATTAAATAAAAAAACTTTTAAGGTCAGATTTATATGCTTTAAGACCATTAAGAAAATGGATTTGTTTTATCCTTAGTGGTGAAAACTTAGTGTGGGTGCTTTTCAGCATCCACACAATTACAA